GTACAAACGCCGGGCCGATGTGAAGCGTAGGCACGTCGAGTTCGAGGTGGGCGATTTTGTTTGGGCGGTTTTGACTAAGGATCGTTTCACTGCACATGAGTACAACAAGCTCTCGGCCCGGAAGATTGGGCCCGTTGAGGTAATCGAGAAAATCAACCCTAATGCTTATCGCTTACGCCTTCCCTCTCACATTCGCACTTCTGACGTCTTTAACGTCAAACACCTTGTGCCTTATGCGGGTGATAATTCCGAGGAGGACGAGGCCGCTTCGGATTCGAGGCCGAATCCTTCTCAATTGGGGGGGGAATGATGGAGACGAGGCCGCTTTGGCATTCTTGGATAAGTTCGACCGGCTCAAGATCTAGTTATCGTATTATTTGCTATCTTTATTATTTTTGTTTGGTTTCTTTAATTTATTTGCTTTCCTAGTTAATATCTTTATTTTAGGAAATAAATAATACTCTTGCACCATGTTAGGCAAGAGTATGACTCTTTATTTAAAGGCAAGATTATCTGATGTAAAAAAGCAGTTTTTTGAATGAATGAAAATTAATCGTTTCTTCTTCAGAGAGAGTATCTCTAAGTTCTATCATCGTCTTGAGAGAGTATCTCAAGCATCCCACGCACACGTTCTACATCAAAAAAGGACCCAGAAACGACCGCAAACCCACAGTGCCGGTTCTCGGAATCGGCAACCTACGGGAGGTTGGGGGCCGAGCCGGCGGGTCGACAGATGGGTCAGGCCGTGACCATGTCTAGTCACGATTGTGTTGTCTAATTGTGAATCGTGGTACTCCTTCAAAATTATATAATTTAATAATTTAGTGTTTGCATTTAAAAAGTAAATGAAAATTTGAAATCAGTTGCATAGCTACAGATGGTGGCAAAGGATTTGAGTACAATTTACATGCATGGCCAATTAATTGATTTGTTTAGGTGGAGTGTTTTGATCAATTTTCGATATTAACTAATAGATATCATATGCACATGCACAGAATTACATAAAATACTATAAGTAATATTTGAGAATTTAATATTAAAATTCTAGATAAGAAACATATTACATTTTCAAAAATTTGATCATTAGGAAAAATAAAGTACCGATGAACAATTATTTATTATCATTAGATAATAACAGTTTTATTATTATTATTATTATTATTATTATTATTATTATTATAATTATTTATTATTATTATTATCATTATTATTATTAAAAAACAATTGTTTATAAGGATCTAAAGTTGTTTGACTATGCTATTAAAATAATTTTCTAATTGCTTTTAAAGATTTTTTTTTTCATGAGATACAAAAAAAATTATAATATTGATGTTAATATAGATTACACTTAAAACAATTGTTTGTGATTATAAAATTTATATTCATTGTGAATTATTATTAGTTGGTATTAGAAATAACTATTATTTAATATATTAGAAAAATAAATGATTACACTTAATAGGATGTATTAATGTGAAAAGTAAAAAAATATTAATGATAAATTTTGTAACCGAAAATGGAGGGAAAATTTTAGAAGTTTTATTAAATAGGTTTTATTAAATGCTATATGCCAGCAATTATATATATATATACCCTCAAATCAAATTTTATTAAATATAAAGTTGTGAAAAAAAATGAGGTTAAACCGAAAATCCAGCCGCATCATATAAAAATTTGAGATCGTTTTGAACCGATTTTTTTAATGTCGTGGTGCATTTCGATTTCCTATATAGGTTCGATTTTTCAGTATTTTGCGGTTCGTTATCTAAACAAGTACACTTGCCATAGTCCATGGACCTCTCCGCACCATATCACAACCCATAATATAACAAACGAGTAATTTAGACTATGTTTGGTAGACAAATAAGTTAGCTTATAACTTATTTGCTTAGCTTATAAGCTTTCAGTATTCAAATAAGCCTTGTTTGGTAGGACGAACTTATTTAAAAACTCGGGCTTATTTGATAAGCTTCTTTAAGTAGTTTTTCCAATAAGTTTGTTGAATTTTTTATTCCAGCTAGTTTATAATTAGCTAATTTTACCAAATTCTTTTATCATATAAGTTAGTTTTTCAGCTATTAGTCATAAACTATAAGTTATAATCTCGAAAATTACTGAAGGTGAAGGTTTATAAGATAAATCAGCTATCAACTAATTTTATGTTTTATTCTATATCATTAGGACCCCACGCTCCCTCCTTTACATGCCCTCCTTTTCTTCTCAGTTTCCACTTTACACAGTTATCATTCAATTCAATCAAAAAAATCTCCCTTTCAAGCCCGCGCCCAAATTCCTCATAAGTCATATCCGCCGCCGGAAAATGACGACGTACGGCACCATCCCGGCGTCCTCCCCCTCCGGCGCCGCGGCCAACCTCGAGTACATCTCGCGTGCCAAGGACCGCATCAAGGCAGGCCTCGGCACCCGCCGCTCGTGGCGCGAGATGCTCGACCGCCGCGGCCTCGGCCTCCCGAGATCCGCTCGCGAGGCGACGACGCGTGTCCGAAAGAACCTCAGCTACTTCCGGATGAACTACGCCGTCGTTGTCCTCGGCGTCCTGTTCCTCAGCCTCCTCTGGCACCCGATCTCGCTCGTCGTCCTCGTCGCGATGATGGCGGCCTGGCTGTTCCTCTACTTCC